GAAGAAAAGTAGGGAAAAGAGAAGATATGGAATAGAGGATAAATAAAGACGATAGTAAGCAAATGAAAGTGAAAGTGGAAGTGAAAGAGAAGATTAAGAAAATAGAGAGGGAAGGAAGAGACGAATGAAATGAGAAAAGAGAAGAAAAAAGAAAGAGTAGGAAGCTATGAGACAGAGAGGGGAGGAAAAGAAAGGAGGAAGACAGTTAATAACGGCAGAGAAGAAAAATACAACAAAAAAAAAAGAGAGTAAGTAAATAGAGATAGGATGAAGAAAAAGAGGGAAGAGAGAAAATAGAGACCAGGAAGAAGAAGGAGACGAAGACGAAGAAAAAGAAAGAGAAGAAATCAATTAAATAGAGAAGGGTGGTAGAAAAGTAAGGACGGTAGTAATTAGAAAGAGTGGAAGAGTAAGAGGAAAGTGAGTAAATAGAAAAAAAAGGAAGAAAAAAAAGGAGAGTAAGTAAGAAAAGAGAGTGTGAAAGTAAAGTGTAGAATAATTTGAGAGGTGAGTAAGAGAAAGAAAAATGTGCGTAAATAAGAGAGGGGTGAAGAGAAAGAGTGAAGTTAGTAAATCGAGAGGGAATGAAAAGAAAGAATAAATAGAAAGAGCAGAAAGAGAAACAGAAAATTAAGTAAATGGAAAGTGGGGCGAAGAGAAAGAGAAGAGCAAGTATATAGAGAGGGGAGGTAGAACTATAAGAAATGTAGTTATTAGAAAGAATAGAAAAGAAAGGGCAAAGACGGTAAACAGAATAGAGAGGATAAAAGAGAAGAGTAAGTAAAAAGAGAGGAATAAAGTGAAAGTGTAGAGTAATTAGAGAGAAGAGTAAGAGAAAGAGAAAATTACGTAAATAGTGAGGGGTAAAGAGAAAGAGTGGAGTAAATTGGGAGGGAATTAAAGGAAAGGGGAGAGCAAGTAAATAGAGAGAGCAGAGAGAGTAAATATTGACTAAATGGAGAAAGGGGTGAAGAGAAAGAGGGTAGCACATAAATAGAGAGGGGAGGCAGAAAGAGGGAGAGGATCCTTAGTGGCAAGAGAGAGAGAGAGAGGAAGACGGCGAAACAATTAAAGGTAGAGAGTATCGGGGAGGAAAATTTAGAAATGAGAGAAACGACACCAGGAAATCATGAAGAACCTCAGAAACAATTACAAAAAGTCTTTATATGAGAGAGAGAGAGAGAGGGAGGGAGGGAGAGAGAGAGAGAAATGAGTAAAGAGAAGATGAAAGAGAAAGTAGGAAGCAATGAGATTGAGAGGAGAGGAAAAGAAAGTAGGAAGACAGTTAATAACGGCAGCGAAGAAAAAATGCAGATAGATGGAAGTCAAAAAAGAGAGTAAGTAAATAGAGATAGGATGGAGAAAAAGAGGGAAGAGAGAAAATAGAGATCAGGAAGAAGAAGGAGACAAAGAGAGGAAGTGAGAGAGAAGCATGAGTAAATAAATTAGGTAAGGATGAGAGAGAGAGAGAGAGAGAGAGAAAGAGAGAGAGAGCATTAATGTAGAAAAGAAAGAAAAAAGGAAACTTCTATAATATTATTCAATTTCAAATATAAAGCATTTACTGATATCATCTGAGAAAAGAGACCAGTTCTTCGTTTCGGCGTTCAATGCGCTGTCTCAAGAAGAACTGGCTACGACACTAAGGTGCAATTAAATGAACGACACCGTGACTAGAACCTGAACATAAATGTCCAATAAATAACACGCGTATTAGGCTAAAAATCGCTGAGAGTTGTTTGGAAATGCTTGAGTGTTTAGTGCGGGGGGGGGTCTCTCACAAGGACTCGGGCTAAAAGGAACGGATAGAAATTTCCGAAGGTCAAGAGATAAACTTCAATGCGATAGACATATTTTTAGGCTGCAAAAAACTTCAAAGAAAATCATAAATAAATCTCATTATCTTGGTCTCTCTATTTCTCTTTTTTTTTTTTTTCTTTCTTTCTTTCTTTCTTTCTTTCTTTCTATCTATCTATCTATCTATCTATCTATCTATCTATCTATCTATCTATCTATCTCAGTCTCTTTCTAACAATCGGCCTATCTCAGTCTCTTTCTTTCATCCTTTCTTTCTTTCTATCTCTCCCTCTCTCTCTATCTATTTTCTCTCTCTCTCTCTCTCTATATATATATATATATATATATATATAGAATAGATAGATAGATAGATAGATAGATAGATAGATAGACACATAGATAATAAGATCTATCTATCTATCTATCTATCTATCTATCTATCTATCTATCTATCTATCTCCGTCTGTTTCTTATTTTCCTTCAATCTATCTATCTATCTATCTATCTATCTATCTATCTATCTATCTATCTATCTATCTATCTCCGTCTGTTTCTTATTTTCCTTCTATCTATCGATCTATCTATCTATCTATCTATCTATCTATCTATCTATCTATCTATCTATCTATCCGTCTGTTTTTATTTGTCTATCTAAATCTGTTTATTTTATCTATATATATCTATATATATATATATATATATA